CGAAAGCCTCAGAAAGGTACAACTTTACTTTCTCGTCCAATGCTGGACTGTCAACTATAACGATTCTCTCCTAGAACATAAAAAGGATGAGAGTAAGTGAATCTTAAAAAAGGTTTAATTTTTTTTTTTGATCAATGTTTCTTTACTTGTTGTTGACTCATCCAAAGACTTTTTTTATCAAGAAAAGAGTTAGATTGTGAAGGAGAACGATATATGTTCTTTCTCAGATATAATCAATGAAAAGTATTCTGCAAGACCTAAGCTTTTTCAAGAATAATGCTTGATAAATGCTCAGTTAGCAACCCTTGCCTCACAAATTCCATATAAAGCCATAAGCTTGCCTTGCTTATCACCAACCTTCAGTAGGTTGTTTGGCCAAAAGATCTCAACCTTGTTACAACCTTGCCGATCTTGATTTAGGAAAAACGAAATTTGTAGAAGAAAGATTTTTTGAGAATTCTCAGCCATCTGTTCAAGTTGAATAGTCTTTGAGTGAAGCCCTGTTTCGGGATCTGCGTCTTTAAAGTGCGCTACAAGCTTGTGGGTTGTTCCATATCTTAGTTCGCAGATGAAGGAAGAGGTGCCAAGAAAGGAGTCAGGGAGTAGTTGTTCCCCAATAATTAGACTTAGCAACCTGCTCTTTTTCGAATCTCTTTCACCTGTCGAGAGCAATCGTCAGATTAAAGAACAACATGATCCACAAAATCAGTTGTGTTTAAGTATCAATACATTCAATAAAAATAAAGTTATCATTGCATAATTCTCATGATTATGCAAAATAAGTTCTTAAGACTACAGGAGTCTTACTTCAAGGTAGGCCGAGAAAATTCATCCCGAAGATTATGCGCGATTGGCCTTGAACGACAGGAAGGTTCAAACGGAGAATATGCTGCGATGGAAAAGTGAAAGCTGCTACCATGAATAGAAGTTGATATAGCGAAACTGTGCAAGAGATATCACGTCCATCAAGTCCGTTTTAATTGGCTCTTGCTACTCCATTGCAAGCTGGTGACGTAGTCGTGTGGCGGACAGTCTGCCTAAGGGTGGATGGAGCATATCGGAGGGAAACTTAAAGCTACAACATACGCACATGCTTCAATCTCTACGTAATCATGAGCTTCCAAAATTTCTTAAGCAACCAACCTGCAACGAGCACCACGTATTCCGTTCTCTCTAGACTCTGTTTGTGGTAAGCCATTTGGTTCGTGAGATTCTTTACTCCCAGCTCCAGAAGTGCGTGGTCCTTGTCACTTAAGTTATTCAGACAGGCGTCTGTGCTCTCGAATAATTCTAGCAAGTGCCTCTGTCTTCTTTCGACTTCTTCCCTGGTCTCTCTCATTACTGAGAAGGCCTGATGAGTGGAGCATGGAGTGGTTAAATGCTTTGCGAATATATCATCAATGGCAATGAAACTTGGATTTACATTCTATATCTAAGTCGTTCGTTTAATAAAACACAACGAATATATGAAATTCATATATCTGAACTGCGGTTATAGAAACGTATTTTTGCACGATCCTCGCAGTAAAGAGCACTATAGTGCTCTTTACTGCGAGAATTGTGAACACCCGAACACTCCTGCAAACACCCTGCTCTTTACGAGGATCGTGCAAAAATACGTTTCTATAACCGCAGTTCAGATATATCAATTTCATTTATTCGTTGTGTTTGATTTATCATCTTACAGGTTTAGGTCGAATTAAAAA